ACACTTCCCAAATTTATTTTAAATATATTGTAAATCCACTTTTTATATTAGAATTTTGGTTACTAGGAATATTTAAGGAACCGTGATGGATCGTCAATAAACTTGGACTAACTCAACCTTTGAAAGTAACCTACCGTGCACCAACGGTTATAGTTAAAATCCCCCTTTGTTCAACTTGTCAACATTCAAAATATGAATGACCCATTCAAAGTCTAATGAGATATTTTCCTCTTGGTAGTTGGGTCTATCCTTGACATCTCTAGTGTTAGAAAAAATATATGATTTTTCATAAGTAAATTAATTAATGAGAATAAAAATTAATGTAAAAAAATTAAATTAACAGTGACATAAGAATTTTTACGTGGTTTCCTCAATATGAGATACGTCCACGAGATCGAAATTCGAATCTATTATTAATCAAAAAGTTTTTAAATGATTAGAAATAAGACACGAATGGTCTCACAAATTATAATTTTAAATAATTACAAATAAACAAGAGGAAAAATCTCACTAAATAAATAAACAAAAATTTTCAAAATAAATTATAAAAGACCCAAAATAATAGCACCAAATAATTCCCACACTGCCGCTACGTCCAAATAAACTTCAAAGCATTAATCAGAATCAAAGCACCACAAAGCATCCACTGAAAGAAAAACAATGTTCTATCTGCCTCAGCACACCATGGGAAAAGCAAACTAATACCTATTAAATATTGTTAATTCTTGTGTGTTATATCAAAACTCTAGTTGCTATTAAATTGAATATAAAAAATTTATTGAACTTTCAAAAGTTAGATATAATATATAAAATATATTATATCAAAATCAAACAAAATTAAAATTTTTTTTAAGAAACTAATTGGGTGTCATACTCCACTAATCCCAACATATAATGAGGGCAGTGATTTTATAATTAATTATAAATATGAGGTACCCCATATCATATGTTTCTGTTCAAAAATACTAAATAATTTTTTTATTATTATTATTTTTCAAGACATGTATGAAAAGAAAAGTGAATTCCCTATCCATCCATTAAACACAAGGCAAATAAACTAATGCCCTTGTCCTAGTCGAAAGCTAGTATTAGTATTGTAATGACATAAATATCTTAGCACCCAAGTTCCAAGGTAACATAGGATAAACAATGCCCTTAGCCCTATTGAGAATAAACTAATGCCACTGGCAGGTCCTAGTCAAAAGCTTATTATAATGACAAAAAAATGTACTTAGCGACAAGTTACAAGGTAACATAGGATAATTAAACCCTAACCATAAGGCTAAGTTGGTCAATGCATGTGAGATGCATTCATTTGCAAACATGGAAACTACCACAATTTGTAGATGACTTTTTAAAAAGAGAATTCTTGTGGATTTAGATCGGAAATAACAATCTAAACAATAATCCTCATCTCTTTTGATTATATTTTAAATAGGGAGAAGTTTTTTTCAATCCAAGTCAGATTGAAAAGTGTTATAAGGACTTCATGGGCTCACTATGGAGTCCAAATCAATAATTCGAATTATTTAATGTATAGAATCGTTGAGTATTTCATCTCTGTAAAAAAATTACGTTGATCGGATATCAATAGTTATTTTGATTTAATTAAGTGGCTATTGATATCCAATTAATGTGATTTTTTAGGGACGAAGTAATCGATAAGTTCTACACATTGAACGGTTTGAATTATCGATACGTCTTCCGTGGTGGGCCCACAAGACCCAACAATATCCTTCAATTGAGAAGCCCGACTAGAGAGAACCCAATCCCTTTTGAATATTATTTTATGTGGCACAATTATAATCATAAAATGCTGATATCTAACTATGATGATTATCTCACATAAAATATTTGAAATACAGTCAAAAGAAATTATCATGGTAATTCAAGCCATAGATGTGTTATCTCAATATTTTTCAGTAAATTAATATTTTATAGATTTTGTCAAACTATTTACAACTTAATATTAAATCCAAACAAAAAACTTGACACAACATTCAAGGATTAGATATAATTTAAATTATTAATTTATAAAAAAAAATTATCCATATTATAAGCATGCAGTACATCTCTAGTTTGGACTCTTCAAATTAGAGAAAGCTCTAACTCTTATAAAAAATATTCTCATACATGACGAAAGAAAAGTTGTCATTGCTTTCAAAGATTTAAGCGGAAACTTGAAAATGTCTGCTTCCTTAGGTACTCTCACACAAATCTTAACATTTTAGTTAACTGTAATTTATCAAAAAATTATTAAAAAATAGAATTTGAAACAAGTGGTTAGGTTATAGCCGTACACCCCGGTGGGAATAGTAACACTAGGAATTCAAATTTAACTATTCACAAATTATTTAAAATTATTATGTGGTTTGGATTAATTCTACTTATAAATCCCGCACTACACAAATTTAATTTCCACCACATAATGATCCACTTATAAAAATGTAGATAGATAAGTCGGGTTCCGGACTTATTGGGGTAGGAAATTAACACCCAAGTCTGATCGGGTCAGAAAAACAAACAAGAAGTTATTGATTGGTCTTGAGGCATCACCACATGGTGCCCCAACGATGTTGTAATTGGTGGAAGAGATATGGCCTACAAATTTGTATGGGGTGATTACGAAACATAAGAGGGCATGTAGAATTGTGATTGGTGAGTGATATGGCCACGTGGTACCTCTAGACCAACCAATAATTTTTCCGTACAAACAGGGTTTGGTCGGCCAAGCCAAGCCAAAATCACCATTATACGAATTCTCGTTTTAGGGCCCGCATGTTCTCTGAATATATGGGGAGTGTTTGAGAAGTAGGCTATATCAAGGTTTTGAAACTCAGACCCGACCGACATGGCCATACCCCTCGCCACTCGGAACCAGTGATCGGATGAGATTCCGGTTCAGTCGACCCTTATAAACCGTTCAAGAATAAAAACCGTTATTTTTATAGCGGAAGCGGTTTAACCGGCAAACCGGTTGATCAGTTCACGAGTCAATTAAACTGGGACAGTTTGTTAATGATATATATAATTAGGATTTATCTCTCTCTTTGGTTTGCACAGCTGCAGGTCTCTCTCTCTCTCTTCAACACCCTAGGACTTCTTCAATTGCTCGTTCATCACCACACCACAATTAATGAACCATTGAAACTCAACTGAAGTTCTCATCCTTACACAAATCACCACCGCCGTTGTGCTGACAAAGAATCTCGGGGTACTACTTTTGTGTAATTTGTGGTAATCTTTGATTTGGTTTGAGAGGGTTTCCATCATATTGCATCAATCTGTTGATGAATCTTTGATTAATTTTTACTACTTCAATCTTCTTGCCCTTGCTGTGAGATTTCAGAAAATTTGGGTAAAGGAATAAACAACATAGGAATCAAAAGGGTCTACTTGAAGAAGCCTATTACATTATTATTATAAATCTATATATCTGTTCGGTTGTGATTCATACACCCAGTGCGGGTCGACTCCCAGTGAGGTGGCGACCTCCTATTCGCTGAAAACACAAAAAAAAAAAAAAAAAATTTGTTTTTTTTGGGCCAATCCCGGAGTGACACCTCACTGAGGTCGACCCCCAGTGGGGGTAGGAAGCATTTTTGATATCTGTTTGGGCAAAAAAAAAAAATAATAATAATCCTCAAATCTGCCTTTGGTATGTGTTACAGTGTTAGTTCTATTTTTTCTTTCTTCATAATAAACTACTTGTTTGATTTCCTCTTCCTTGCTTTAGATACTCATTCATAATTATGATTATTTTCCTTTTTATTTGTTGTTAGTATGTGAAGTGGTATAACTTATCTTTAGGATATTTTTTTTTTTAAATATAGAAAAAACATCACTATAAATATTTAAGATTTTTTTTAAAAAAAATTGAAAATTTAATATCTATATTGTTAATTTATAGTTTTTTAAAAATTATTTATGATATAATTATGACTTCACTATTCGATTCGGTTCAACCCGACAGTTGAACCGGTAATTCATCCCCGATCTGTTTTTCGGTTTACTCAATGGTTCGGTTTTTAAAACCTTGGGCTAAATAAGGAGTGTTTGAGAAGTAAGTTAGAAGCTAAAATATTCAATAAAGATAAAATAAACTAAAATAATCAATAAGATAAAATATCACATTTAAATCTTAATAATTTCATCTTTTTTTTCACAATTATCAAATTAATTATAAAAAATAATTAATTTTTTAAATACAACTATTTTAACCTGACTAATAAAAAATAAAAATAAAAACTAAGGGGTTGTTTGGGGTGTCCTAAATAAGTGTATTTTTTATCTTTTTGGACTGAAAAATTGAGAAAAAAATATGAATGTTTGAGTTAACTTTTTGACTTTTATGAAAAAATGTATATTAAAAAATTGTATAAATTAGTGTGTAGGAAAAAATTAGAATTAAAAGTTGTGCAGTTATAATTTTTGACTTTAAGTAAATATTAATAACTTTTTAACTTTTTAAATAATTTTTTTGACTTTTTAACTTTTTTTTTCATATTTCCAAACTTGGCCTAAATAACCAACCAAAAGTGTACTTTTTATCTTTTTAGACTGAAAAATTGAGAAAAAAATATGAATGTTTGAGTTAACTTTTTGACTTTTATGAAAAAATATATATTAAAAAATTGTATAAATTAGTGTGTAGAAAAAAATTAGAATTAAAAATTGTGCAGTTATAATTTTTGACTTTAAGGGTTGGTTTGGGGTACACTATATAATTCATCTTTTTATCTTTTTATCTTATTTTCATCACATCACCTCTCTACTTTTCTGCACATCTTTTAATTAAAAAGACAAAAAATGTACTTTTTTAAGGCACCCCAAACCAACCCTAAGTGAATATTAATAACTTTTTAACTTTTTAAATAATTTTTTTACTTTTTAACTTTTTAACTTTTTTTCATATTTCCAAACTTGGCATAAATAACCAACCAAAATAACTAACTTCCCAAACAATCCCCATAAACACCGGATCATGGGGGTTTCGTGTGGCAATTGAAATTCGCAACCAAATAGAAGGCGAAATCTGTCAATTACGCTCAGAGAGAGAGAGAGAGAGAGAGAGAGGGGGAGCGACCGACTCGTGGAGCATTGCAGAGTGTGATGCGTGGAAGCAGGGGACAGAAAATGGCGAGATCGCATTGGAAGGAGCTCTTGCAATGGCGAATCGTCACGCCTTCTGATCCCTAACAACGCTTTTCTTCTCTCAAACCGTTCGCTTTCTCGAATCTGATCGATTCGATCCTCATCATCAGGTACCAACGAATCTCTCTCTCTCTCTCTTATTGCAATTACGACGAAAATCTCAAATCTCAATCCTACATTGTTCTTGTATTCTGTTTCTCTCTCTTCGATCTCTTCAATTCATTGTATATTTAATGTTTTTCCTTGAAATTTCCTTGAATTCGCGTTTTAAACGCGTGAATGTTTCTCTAAGAAGGTCGTCCACGCATCAATATCAATATATTGAAAATTATTTTTTCGCTTTCCGTTTTCACCTTTTGTTATGCATTTGAATTCGGAAAATTTTGCTTTGCTCAGCTGACATGAAGTTGATCGATTCTTTTCTTTTGGTTGGTTCAGAAATGGCCGAAGTGACAAAACTATTCTATATAGTAGTTGTTGATGATGAAGAGGAGAGTGAAAAAGGAAAAGAGTCGTTCCGGTACACGCGCCCTGTTCTGCAGAGCACTCTGCAGCTCATGGGATGCAAAGCTCGACATGCGTTTAAGGTAGTTTCTATGCAATCTTTTTCATGGTGTGTTATTTGCAAATTTTTAATTTCATTTTGTGTTTTTAAATTTTTGTATATGGAACTATTGATATGATGGCAAATTAGCTTGTTCGGTTTTTTGTGTGTGATAATTTTGGATCAAGTTCTGGTCAGAGACTGGGATAACGACCTTACCTGCCGTTTGGGTTGATTTTGTGATCTCAATCGTCTTTGTTCTTTAAAAAATTAAAAAAATAAAAAATTTGTCCCTTTCCTTGGCAGTAGTAGATCAGGACTGCACGTGATAAGTTCTGTAATTTTGTACCTATCATGTGAATTCAAAAAAATATTAATTTTGGCAATATGGTATACAAATTTATTAAGCTGAATATTGCTCCACCTGTTTGATGTTTGCTTTCACGGTTCTTCTCAAATTATTTTGCTCATGTCATTTAGATCCTTGAACTTGGGTTGTTCACCCTCTTCTGGAACTGCTATGTGACACAAATCTACTCTCAATTGCAACTTATTGTGATTTTGGTTATAAAATAAGTATTCAAACCGCAAATTTTGTCTCATAACTAATATCACCTAACTAAAGCACCACTAGAAGATGGTTACGGCCAAGGTCACTTCATGTCCCAATGTATTTACTGTCAAATTGCAGATGAGATTGAAGTGTCTTTGAATTTCTTCATTTGAAGAATTGTTTTTTTGTGTTTTTGTTGCATCCATCTTATCTCTCTATGTGGTGGGGCTGTTGAGGCCTATTGTTTTATAACACACTCATAGGAAATAATGAATTGTAGTAGTATAGTTTAAATCTTCTGAAGTTTGACCATCAAGGTTGATCAACTCAAAATTCAGCATCTTTGAGGTCCATGCTTAATTTTTTCCTCCTATAGTTTGTGTTATGCTTTGGTTTCCTTAGCATTAGACTGTTTCTAAGGATTTTGGAACTTGCACTAATATTATCTTTATGTTCTTATTAGATTAGCCAAAGGGTCTTTGAATTGATGAAAAGTGAATGCCCTGTGGATGCTTGGGATTCAGCAAATGTTGAGATGGTGGACTTGGATGTTTTAAAAGGACAATCTCAGAAAGAAAATGGTTGCTGTACTGGGGGTCACCATTTGGTTTTAGAGAATGATGGTAAAAGTAAGAATAAACCATTTGAATTGTACAAAAGACGCACAACTGTGGTTGTTAAAAGAAAAACCTTTTTAGATGTTGTTTGCAATGCTCTGGATGAATATAAATATGTGGGTCCCAACCAGAGAGCGGATTTGGTTTTAGCTTGCAGGTACAATCTTATATAACCCTTTGAAATAATGTTAAAAGTCACTAGTCATTGATGTTCATATAAGTTTGTTAGTGTCATTGAAATAATGTTAAAGTCTGCAGCACCTCTCTCTTTTAAATTTTTCATAATTTATATAGGTTGGCTTCACCTTTTACTCTTTATTTACCTTTTTTTTTTTTTCTCTCCCTCATAAGGTTATATTATTCATATTTATGTGTTAGATTATTGTCAAACCAACATTTTTGTGCAAAATGCATCTTGGTATTCTAAAGAGAAAATGAAAATCCATGACATTTGTACGTACATTTGATAACTTGGGCAATGTTGTTCTCTCTTGAGATTAATTGCATTACGGTATGCCTGCCCTTCATGTTTCGAGAGTTATTTTGTAAGCTGGCTTGTCACATGTTTACTTGAACAATTTTTGGTGCCTCAGTTTGAGAATTTGTTTGTATTATGTTCATCTGCTGATGTTTGGTTGTATGTTTTTAACAACCAAACCAAACCAAACCAAACCAAGCCAAGCCTTAAGTCCCATCAAATGGGGTTGGTTACATGAATCCTTCTTCTCGACGCGGCTCTATCAAAAGCCATTTCGTTAGTCAAATTAAGTATATCCATATCTCTATTTACAACGCTAGCCAACATTAATGTAGGCCTACCTAGTCCCCTAACACTTTTATTTACCACCACTATATCGCATCTCTTCACTACTGTCTCTGCTGGTCTTTGTTGAATATGACCAAACCATCTCAATCGGTTCTCTTTCAACTAATCTTCTATCGGTGCTACTTCTACCCATTTCCGAATACACTCATTCCTAATTCTGTTTTGTCTAGTCTTGCCACACATCCACCTTAGCATCCTTATCTCAGCCACACTCATCTTATCTACATGTTATTTCTTGCTTGCCTAACATTCCGTCCCATGCAACATCATTGGTCTAATAGCCGTTCTATAGAACATACCTTTTAATCTAGTGGGTATTTGTTTATCACACAGTACCCCAGACGCACTTCTCCACTTACATCATCCTGCCTCAATCCTATGGGCTACATCCGCATCAATCTCCCCTGCTACTGTGATAATCGACCCTAAATAACGAAAATGTACACTCTTAGGTAGTTCTTGGTTCTCAATCTTCACTTCTCCTCTGCTTTCATTGTTACTGTTACTAAATTTATACGCCATGTACTTTGTCTTAGTTCTGCTTATCCGGAATCCTTTAGATTCAAGTGTTTTTCTCCAAATCTCCAACTTTGTGCTAACTCCTTCTCTAATCTCATCCACTAACACGATATCGTCTGCAAAAAGCATACATTATGGCATGTCATCCTGAATATTTCTCGTTAACTCATCCATAATTAAAGCAAAAAGATAAGGACTCAAGGTAGATCCTTGGTGTAACCCTACAGTAATATGAAATTCATTTGTCTCTCTAGCAAACAATCTAATAGTCACATGTCCCTAATCACATCAATGTAATCTTTTGTCACCCCTTTCTTCTCTAACACCCATCATATTATATCCTGAGTCACTCTATCATATACTTTCTCAAGGTCAATAAACACCATATGAATGTCTCTTTTCTTTTCTCTATACTTTTCTATTATTTTCCTCAAAAAATATATCACTTCCATTGTTGACCTACCAGGTATAAACCCAAATTGATTTTCTGACACCTCTGTTATATTTCACAATCGGCGTTCCATCACCCTCTCCCACACTTTCATTATATGACACATTAGCTTAATTTCTCTATAATTGTTGCAATTCTGGAGATTTCCTTTATTCTTATAGATTGGCACTAAAATACTCTTCCTCCACTTATCTGACATGTTCCTAGTCAACAAAATTTTGCTAAACAACGTAGTCAACCAAGCAATTCCCTTTTTACCCAAGCACTTCCAAGCTTCAATAGGGATATCATGAGGTCCTAAAGCCTTATTTGATTTCATCTTCTTAAGTGCAATCTCTACTTCAAAGTTCCTAATCCTGCGATAGAACTTATAGTCTTGATTTCTCGTATTACTGGTTATTTTTTCCCCTATTGACGTATCTCCATGTTCCTCATTTCATAGTTTTTCATAATAGTTCTTCCAACTTTCCTTAATCTTTTCATCCTTCGCCAATTCCTTAGAATCCTCACTCTTGATGCACTTAACTTGATTAAAATCTCTTATTTTTCTCTCCCGTATCTTAGCAAGTTTGTATACTCTCTTCTCTCCCTCTTTATTGTCCACTCTAGTGTATAGGTCATCATAAGCTTTCAATTTAGCCTCTCTCACTATTTTCTTGACCTCTTTATTAGCCAATCTATAGTTTTTAAGATTTTCCTTAATTTTATCATTTTGCCACTTTTTAAAGCACTCTTTTTTCCACTTAACTACCGCTTGAACCTCTTCCTTCCACCACCAAGTTTCCCTAGAGCTGGGTCCTTTTCCTTTCGACTCTCCAAGCACTTCCCTTGAGATTCTCTTTGTACAATTGGCCATCGAGTTCCACATAGTGTTAGTTAGCATCATCTTCTAATCTCTACTTCAAAGTTCCTAATCCAGCGATAGAACTTATAGTCTTGATTTATCGTATTACTGGTTATTTTTTCCCCTATTGACGTATCTCCATGTTCCTCATTTCATAGTTTTTCATAATAGTTCTTCCAACTTTCCTTAATCTTTTCATCCTTCGCCAATTCCTTAGAATCCTCACTCTTGATGCACTTAACTTGATTAAAATCTCTTATTTTTCTCTCCCGTATCTTAGCAAGTTTGTATACTCTCTTCTCTCCCTCTTTATTGTCCAGTCTAGTGTATAGGTCATCATAAGCTTTCAATTTAGCCTCTCTCACTATTTTCTTGACCTCTTTATTAGCCAATCTATAGTTTTTAAGGTTTTCCTTAATTTTATCGTTTTGCCACTTTTTAAAGCACTCTTTTTTCCACTTAACTACCGCTTGAACCTCTTCCTTCCACCACCAAGTTTCCCTAGAGCTGGGTCCTTTTCCTTTCGACTCTCCAAGCACTTCCCTTGAGATTCTCTTTGTACAATTGGCCATCGAGTTCCACATAGTGTTAGTTAGCATCATCTTCTAAGTCCCAAGTATCTTCCTTATCCATTATATTCTTAAATATTGCTACTTTATCAGCTTTTAGGTCCCACCATCTCGTCCTACGACGCCCACCATCCTTCCTAGCTTGGTATTGTCCTTTAAAACATAAATGTAGTACCAAAATCCTATGTTGAGAGGCCAAGCTCTCTCCAAGAATCACTTTACGATCATTCCATTTTAGACAGTCCACTTTTCTCACTAAGAAGTAATATATTTGGCTCTTAACTGACCCACTCTTAAAGGTTATCAAATGCTCGTCCCTCTTCTTATACACAGGGGTTGTTTGGGATGTTCTAAATAAGTGCACTTTTTGACTTTTTATGAAATATAAGTTGGGTTTGAAGTGATGTGGTAGATGATGTGACTTAAATAGGATAGTGACTTTTTGGCTTTTTAAATTTTTTAGGAGATGCCAAACAAGGCCATAGTATTGGCCACCACCAGGTCAAAAGCCAACGCAAAATATAAGATACTCTCTCCGGTCTCATTTCTGTCACCAAAACCGTATCCACCATGCACCCTTTCATAGCCTAGTTTATCTATGCTTACATGGCCGTTAAAATCTCCACTTATAACCAGGTTCTCTTTTACGGGTATCTCTTGTAAGATATCATCCATTTGCTCCAAAAAATCCCTCTTAGTCTGATCATCTAATCCTACTTGAGGGGCATATGCTCTAATAACGTTCACTATATTCCCTTCAATAACTAGTTTAACTAATATAATCTATTCCCTTTCTTAATGACCGCTACTACACTCTCCACAAGACCCTTGGCAATTATGATTCCTGCTCCATTCGTGCGTCTATCCTTACCACTATAATACAGTTTAAAACCGATATCCTCAATTTCTCTAGCTTTCTCACCTGTTCACTTAGTTTCTTGTATGCAAGCTATACTAACTCTTCTTCTAATCATAACATCTACTAATTCCATCGTCTTGCTAGGAAGGTTCCTATATTCCAAGTGGCTACCCTAAACCTATAGTCTTGGACTAGCTTCTTTACCCCGCGCTCGTCCAAAAAAACGCGGGAACCTTTGCCCATTTTTCACCGCACCCAGGCGTCGATGTGGCGCCCTTTGCTCACTTTTCAAAACACCCGGAGGCAGGTGCAACGCGTCACTTGAGGGGATGACCTAGTATTTAAACGTTTCAAAGTAGGATTCATTGTCATAAGAAATCCGAACGACTGTTTTACATGTTGTCTGTTGGCTACCTAACACACAACCCTCCTCCTTTACCCGGGCTTGGAACTAGCAGAGTTGTTAACAATCCCGGCGGAGTTGGTGTATGTTTTTTATAGTAATTAATTTATCTTGATTATGTGTTGTCTGTCTTTGTAAAATTTGTGTGGTTTAATTGTTAAAAAAAAAAGGGATATTTTTGGTTTCTATGTTTGACACTGAAATAGAGAAATGGGATCACGGTGCCTTTTTTTAGTTCTATCCATGGTCCCAGAGCTACCCCTATTTCATATCAAATCCCTAGCATAACAAGCCTTGGTAAACCTTAACCTTTTCTCATACATTTTGGCCTTTAGTTATCATTTAATTTCTGTGTTAGTTGTTTTCCGGAAGGTTTGGCTGCTAGTTCTTTGGAATTCTCATGGATTCTATCACATGACTTCTATAGGAGCATTTTACCTTGTTTGGAGTTCTTGTAAGGATCAATTATATTAGATTGTCTAAATGAGAGGATGAAACTACATTGGTGGGGACTGCAAAAATGACAATTGTTGATTGGTCGATATAACAGATATGAGGGAAATTGTGGATTTTAGCTCAAAGTATTATCTCTATTGTCAGGAAATGTACACCTCAATACTTCATTTGTTTGTTGTTGAACTATGAGAAATTGTTTTCTTGTTTCAGAATACGGGAAAGGAAGGAATCTGTAACCGTGCTGTTGTGCGGGACTAGTGGCTGCGGCAAATCTACATTGTCAGCACTGCTGGTATATATAATTTTTTTCTGAATACACTAATATTCTTTTGGGTTATAATTTTCACATTTCTTTGGTAAACTGGAAATTTGATTGGAATAAAATTTAAGGATTACATTATCCTGGGGTTATAACCCCTCCAGAATCATTTGTACAAGTGATTTGCAATACAATGATGAAGATAGTGAAAATTTTGCAATTCATCAATCGTAGAATCTCCTTTATTAGCAAGGATGTCCGCAAATCTATCAACCTCACAGTAGACATGTTTAATTTTTGGAATTCCCAGCCTTCTCATAAGGTACTTGCAGTCACAAATAAGGTTGATGTTAAAATACTATAATAGAAATCTTCAAATTAATCTGCTATATTTGCTTCCACCAATGGCCTGATTCCCCGGTCATCATCTCACATTCTAGAGAATCTTTTAATTGAAATAACTTTTCCAAATTCCAGACAGTTGGTGGAAAATCAGCATGAGAGTTATTTTGTGAAATAGATGGGCAGATGTCACAATCAGCATGCATTATGATTATCTACTGAAAACCATTCATGCATGATGTACAAAAACACCTTTGTTGTTCCTAATGAGGTGATACCGCCACCCACAAACTTTTATACTACTATTTTTTGTAAGGAAATAAGGTGCCCCAAAAAAAAAAAAGAAAAAAAAGTAGACGAAACATTGCTAACCATATTGGGTTTTACACTTCAGTTCAAACCATTATGGGGTTATATTTACATTTTCAATTACAGGGTTGTGATTTTTCAGCCCAAACTGCTGGGGCACAACGTAAAAATGTAGTTAACCCAAAAGAATAGTAGTGTCTTTGGCAAGAAAATAGATATACCAGTCGTGCCAACAAAGCCATTTGTCTCACACAACAGCCCTAGTCCCAACACGGGGACTAGTGGGCAAAAACATAGCTATTGGTTTTGCCCAATATGTGTGTTTGGGAAAACACTTTGTGTCTGGCTGAATGGCTCTCAAAAACTAGGGCTTATTGACAATTCATTAATAAGAGCTTATGTTCTGAGATGGGTGGCATGGGCCCTTAATGGATTTGGGAGAAGGGGATTGGGGTTAAACTGTGTAGAGGTGCTTTTGGAGTTGAAAAAGAGTTAAATCCAACTAGAATTCTTCAGTGTGACTGACTTCAAAAGTTGGCCTTTCAAAACCAAGCTATAATCCTGTGAGAATCTTGTGTAAATCTTCCCTTCCAAACCATTAGAATGCAACTTATGGTTGCATCTGAGATTGATTGCACCAGTCTTCAGAATGCTGAAAAATTTCAGGCTAATCATTTTACATTTAATTTAGCCTTCCTAAATTTATTTTGCAGGGTAGCAGGTTGGGAATCACAACTGTGATATCTACTGACTCGATTCGGCATATGATGAGAAGCTTTGTAGATGAAAAGCAAAATCCCTTGCTCTGGGCTTCAACATACCATGCTGGGGAATATTTGGATTCAGTGGCTGTTGCAGAAGCAAAGAAGGACAAAAGGAAAGCTAAAAAATTAGACGGTGTTTCCCAGCAGCTACTAAAGGATGATGTATCTGATGGTTCTGTTGGAAAATCTGATATCCGACCACCAGAAATGGGTTCTAGTTCTGCTGAATTGATCAGTCCGAGACAGATGGCCATTGAGGGATTTAAAGCACAAAGTGAAATGGTCATTGACAGTCTTGATCGACTGATCACTGCATGGGAAGAACGGAAAGAATCAGTAGTAGTTGAGGGTGTCCACTTAAGCCTTAATTTTGTGGTAAGTGAAAATGTATTTGTATTTTATCATGAGAAGTTTACATTTTCTTTCAATTGTCAGTTTTGATCACAACTTGTTTTATGATTTGCAGATGGGGCTTATGAAGAAGCATCCTTCAATCATTCCATTCATGATATACATAACAAATGAGGACAAACACTTGGAAAGATTTGCAGTTCGTGCAAAGTACATGACACTAGACCCCGCTAAAAACAAGTATGTAAAATATATTCGAAACATCAGGACAATCCAAGAATACCTCTGTAAGCGTGCAGACAAGCATTTGGTCCCAAAAATAAATAATACGAATGTTGACAAGAGTGTTGCCGCCATCCATGCAACAGTCTTCAGCTGCCTTAGAAGGCGTGAGGCTGGCGAGCAGCTTTATGATCCTGCCACAAACACAGTTGCTGTGGTTGATGAGGAGTACAGGAATCAGTGTGCTGCCAATTCATTGAGCTCCAAGGGTATGTTTCAACTAATTCAAAGACAAGGTTCTAGTAGGCATCTGATGGCTCTTCTGAATACTGATGGTTCTGTGGCAAAGGCTTGGCCTGTTGGCTCAGTTAACTCTGATGGCAAGCCCATTGGCCAGTCTACTGAGAATGGGATAGGGACACCAATGTATGGGCCGTTGCACATTGGTAAGGCTGAACCTGTTAATCTTCAGTTTGGCCACTTTGGGATCAGTGCTTGGCCTAGTGATACCGGTGGCACAAGTCATGCCAGCAGTGTTGATGAATCGAGGGGTGATATTACTGACAACGGTAGTAGATATTACTCTTCCTGCTGCAGCTCGCCCCGGATGTCTGATGGACCAGCCAAGGAGGTATTTTTAAAATTTTCATCAGCCTTGCCTTTTTTTTCCCATCTGAAATTAGTCATGGTTGTTGGGCGTTCACAAGTGGCATTCGCAATGAATTGTTCTAAATCCTTCACATTTAAATATTTTTTAGGTTTATTGCTTATATCCTTTTGCTGTTCTGATTATTTTTTTTCATGCTTTCAGCTCAAGGAGGAGCAGTCTGTGCATGGCAGTGATGAGGAGGTTGATGATCCTCCCGAGGTGGACAGCGATGAGGATCTTAGTGGTGATGGTCGAGAACAAATTGATGAAGAGGTAAGGGTTGGTTGTAGTCATTTGAGAATTACTGTGCATCATCTCAAGTACTCGTGAGTCTCTTAAAAATATCATGGCTAATCATACATTATCAATGCTATATGGATGGGTATTTGACTATCATTAAATAGTGGCAGATGAGTTATAGTAACCATTTGTAGTCTAACCTTGGTGATAATGTTTGATGAAAACTGAATATCCTTTGCTGTTTGATGGCTGACATAGGAGTCACTTTTTTCATTGACTCTTTTTATTTCTTAATTGTTGTACACCAAGCCAAAGTTAAACACCCTGTTTTGTTGAGTTTTCAAAATCTGTATTTTATTTTATTTTTTCAAAGAAACTAAAAACTAGTTTGGTGGGAAAAAAAACTGAAAAAATTAGACATCATTTTCATATGGTTCTCCTTTTTGGGGCAAAAATAATTTTTTTTAAAATTTGAAATATTTTTATGGTATTTATTTTTGTCAAAAATAGTTTTGTTTTTGTTTTTGTTTTTGTACAAAATACAAAACAGATTTTGAAAACTCACCAAACAAATGATGTTTTGCTTCATATTTATGTAATTTGTATTTCTCATGTGGAACTATCTTTTACAGATGGAGGGCTCAGTGGATGAGGAGTCGACTAAATCAGATGAAGAGTATGATGATCTTGCGATGCAGGATATCCAAGAGAGTGGCTACCGGTCAGATGATGAGGACGAGGAGTTCAAGGATAAGGTAGTGCCTATTTCCGGGGAGGTACCAACTCTTGAGCTTCCTGGTATCCGTGGAGACAAAGATAGACAAAATCTTGATCACATGAGAACTAGAAGTGAACCGTTTTCTGATCTACCTCCCTCTTACTCTCATCGACTAAGGGAGAAGAATGAAAATAGAGTGCCATCTTCTGGAAATGTCAAAATGAGAAGACGTTCTCATAGTATACCGTCTTCTGGAAAGCGTGGTGGAGTGAGTAAAGGTCAAATTCTCTCCAGAGCCACACAGAGGTAGCAGGAAAATTGTGTTTTGTTTTGTTTTGTTTCTTTTTCTGGTTTTGCCCTTTGCCTTTTGTACTTGCAATTAAAAGGGTAACGAGGCAATTCAGTCTCCCCCCTGCATAGAATGCTTTTAACAATATGGATACATGAACTAGAGTGTATTTTCCGGCAATTTTGTTTTAAGACTAAGCTTTCATGCATACTTTATAAATGATCTCCGATCACAAAAAAGATTTTGATTCATACTAGAATCACGGAACTGGGAATTGGAAGGAGTTTCAGTTCATGGTTATACGATTGAAGGAGCACACATTGGACAAATCAGGAAATTGCTGTTATGGTCTGTTTCAGGTTGAAACAACTGAGAGTGCAAACGAACAAGGAACAAAATCCATGGCTTGTTCTTATCATGCTGAATGAAGGCTATTAGTGGTTGCTAGTCATAGCGAGTTGGCTTGGTAGCGGTGAGGTTTTGTACTAATTGTCAGTTATTGTGGAACCTGGTTAGAAGGCTATATGATTTCAGGGGTTGAGTTGCATAGACGTGGATGGTTCTTCTGCTTTTGATTTTGGTGGTTCACTGCTGATCTCCACTGGCTCAATTTTGTCTGTTTTAGCAAATGAAATAAGTTGGGCCTGCTGTTGGTAGCACCTATTTTTCTTTGGATCCGCGTCGTTTTCTTCTTCCTTTTTTTTTTTTTCTTTTTTTTTTAATTTTTACTATTTTATCCCATCGTAAACTCTTATCCTAATCCTATCCCTCGCAGCCACTTGACACAGGAAGATTGCACGAGAGAGAGAGAGAGAGAGAGAGAGAGAGAGATGAGCGGTGTTGGGGGAGGAGCAAGAGTGGCTGGGGTGTAAAGCGTGGGGGATGGGCGGCTAGAGGTGGAGGTAGGGGCTGGGGTTAGGGTTCCATAGGTTAATGATGAGGGTAAAAAAAAATCTCTTAGCACCCACTTTAAATGCAAATTTATCAGTTACTATTTTGGTTAGGTCATGGCGAGGTGGCTACTCGTTTTTTTATTTTTTTTTATTTTTTTTTATTTTTATTTAAGGTAAATTATTAATAGGTCTTAATGGTTGAACTTAATTCTCATCAAGTTCTTATTGAAAATAAGTCTTAGTGAAATTATCGTTAAAAATAATTTTGTGATAATTTTTTATATGTCATTAAAAATTAATAATTAGTGATTTTTTTTTTCACGATTTTTATAAATTGTAGTTAAAATTTAAAATTAATGGCATTTTTTTGTGATAAAATTTTTAAACTGTAAATAACTAAACCAAGTCAAGCTGAGCCTTAACTCCCATCAAATGAGATCGGTTACATAAATCATTGTCCTCCACTCAGCCCTATCAAAGACCCTTTCGTTAGTCAAATTAAATAGATTCATATCTCTATTTACAACGTTAGTCAATGTTAATCTAGGCCTATCCCGCCCCCTAACACTTTCATCTACCGTTACAGTATCGCATCTCTTCACTACTGCCTCTGTTGGCCTCCGTTGAATATAACCAAACCATCTCAATTGATTCTCTCTCAACTTATCTTCTATCGGTGCCGCTCCTACCCATTCTCGAATACACTCATTCCTAATTCTGTCTTGTCTAGTCTTGCCACACATTCACCTTAGCATCCTCATCTCAGCCACATTCATCTTATCTACATGTTGTTTCTTGATTGCCCAACACTCCGTCCCATACAACATCGCACAGTACCCCAGACGCACTTCTCCACTTGCACTATCCCGCCTTAATCCTATAGGCCACATTTGCATCAATCTCCCTCTCTGTTGTGATAATTGACCCTAAATAACGAAAATGTTCACTCTTAGGCAGTTTTTAGTTCTCAATCTTCACTTTTCCTCTACTTTCATTTTTACTGTTACTAAATTTATACTCCATATATTCTGCCTTAGTTCTGCTTATCTGGAATCTTTTAGATTCAAGTGTTTTTCTTCAAATCTCCAACTTTGTGTTAACTCCTTCTCTAGTCTTATCTACTAGCACGATATTGTCTGCAAAACGCATACACTAAGGCATGTCATCCTAAATATTTTTCGTTAACTCATCCATAACTAAAGCAAAAGGATAAGGACTCAAGATAGATCTTTGGTGTAACCTTACAGTGATAGGAAATTCATTTGTTTCTCTAGCAGGCGATCTAATAGTGGTCACAACCCTTTCATACATGCTGCTAATCATATCAATGTAACATTTTGTCACATTTTTCTTTTCTAACACTCACCATATTATATCTCGGGATACTTTATCATATGTTTTCTCAAGGTCGATAAATACCATATGAATGTCTCTTTTCTTTTCTCTATACTTTTCTATTACTCTTCTCAAAAGATATATCGCTTCCATTGTTGACCTGCCAGACATAAACCTAAATTGATTCTCTAATACCTCTGTTATATCTCGCAATCAGTGTTCCATCACCCTCTCCCACACTTTCATTATATGACACATTAGCTTGATTCCTCTATAATTGTTACAATTCTGGACATTTCCTTTATTCTTATAGATTGGCACTAAAATACTCTTCCTCCACTCATCTGGCGTGTTCCTAGTTAACAAAATTTTGCTAAACAACCTAGTCAACCAAGCAACCCCTTTTTTACCCAAACACTTCCAAGTTTCAATAGGAATATCATTGAGTCTTAAAGCCTTATTTGATTTCATCTTCTTAAGTGCAATCTCCACTTCAAAGTTCATAACCCTACGATAGAACCTATAGTCTTGGTTTATCGTATTACTGGTTATTTCTTTTCTTATTGCCATACCTCTATGTTCCTCATTTAATAGTTTCTCAAAATAGTTTTTTCATCTTTCCTTAATCTCGTTATCCTTCACCAATACCTTAGAATCCTCACTCTTGATGTACTTAACTTGATTAAAATCTCTTGTTTTCCTTTTCCGTATCTTAGCAAGTTTGTATACCCTCTTCTCTCTCTCTTTTTTTCTATCTAATTTATAGCTTTTAAGGTTTTCCTCAATTCTATCATTCTGTCACTTTTTAAAGCACTCTTTTTTTAACCTTAATTACCATTTGAACATCTTCCCTCTACCACCAAGTTTTCCTAGAGTTGAGTCTCGTTCCTTTCGACTCTCCAAGCACTTCCCTTGAAATTTTCCTTATACAATTGGCCATCGAGTTCCACATAGTGTTAGCATCATCTTCCAAGTCCCAAGTACCTTCTTTATCCATTCTATTCTTAAATATTTCTAGTTTATCCCCTTTTAGATCCCATTATCTTGTCTTACGACGCCCACCATCCTTCCTAGTTTGGTATTTCCCTTTAAAACATAAATGTAGTACCAAAATCCTATGTTAAGAGGCTAGGCTCTCTCTAGGAATTACCTTACAATCATTGCAGTTTAAGTGGTCCACTTTTCTTACTAAGAAGTAATCTATTTTGACTCTTAACTGACCCACTCTTAAAGGTTATCAAATACTCCTCCCTCTTCTTATACATAGTATTGGCCATCACCAAGTCAGAAGCCAACGCAAAATCTAAGATACTCTCCCCAACCTCATTTTTGTCACCAAAACCGCATCCACTATGCACTCTTTCATAGCCTAGTTACGTGGTTATTAAAGTCTCAACCAATAATTAGGTTCTCTCCTATGGGTATCCCCTGTAGATGAAAGTTGAAAATTAGTGACTTTTTTTATGATGATTTTTTAAACTGTTGCTAAAATTTATAATTAGTGATATTTTTTTGTGACAATTTTTATACTATCGCTGGAAATTAACAATTGATGATTTTTTTTAGTAGTGTTTGATAAAAAATACCATTAATTATCGTAAGAACTATTGAACAATAAACTTATCTATTAAGACTTATATGTAAGTACTCATTTTATTTAAGGCAAAATATTATTGGAATATAATATATATATATATATATATATTTGGCAAATAATCCGGTATGTAATGCTTTACAGAAGTTTTTACAAATTTATATAAGTGATCTCATAAAACTGCGTGAGTTGATCACAAATTTGCATAAGTTCGTGAAAATTTAAAACTTATGTGAATTTGTATTCAATTTACGTAATTTTATGATAGAATTATATAAGGTGTACATTGTACACTAGATAATTTTCCATATTTTTAATGAAAAATTAGGGATTGATTAGCTTTATAATTTTATCCAAAACTACCGGAGAACAATTTCATTATTATTAAATATTGAGATTTAAGTGTTCCAAAGGCTAAAATATAAAATGAATTTTGCCTATTGGACCTTTTTAATTTTCCTCCATGCAAATTTAATTTGAACCATTTCTTATCATGTCTTCCACGCTCGTTCATAATGAGATTTCAATTCTCATCAACTTTCTTTTCACTTTTCTCAGGTTAAAATTTGATTTTTTAACTTTTAACTCCTGGGTAATAAAATTTAGGTTGTGGTTTGCTCCCAGTCTATCATTTAAATTGGAAGGTCCAGCCCAATTCATTGGGTCATTTTTGGGTCTCTTTTCGATAATTAAAACCATTCACATTTTAAAATTTGTTGAGTACATTATTCTTATAAAAAATTACATCGATTGGATATCGGATACTATGTATTCGGATCGCTTTTTTATAAACCGTTAATTTTTTATCGTCTATTTTTTTTTTCAAGACAAAAGTGATCCGAATACATAGTGTCTGTTATTCAATTGACTTAATATTTTATAAGAATAATATACTCAACAAATTTTAAAATGTGAACGATTCTGATTATTGAAAAGAGATCTAAAAGTGAACCTAATGGGCGAACTAGACCAAACTATCTTAGATCTAATCTAGAGACCGTCTGAATCCTAAAATTTAAACTTTCAAAAGAGAGAATGTTTGTTCATAATAAGATTTCAATTCTTCTTTAACTCCATATTCGCTCTTCTCAAGTTAAAAAATATCTTATGTTTTTAAATATTACCACGCCTCATGTGGCTAGTAAAATTTAAACTTTTGAGAGGGACAGAGATACTGAGATTAGGGACCCAAGTAATTTTAACTTTTTTATGATTGGGTGGAGCTTCAAATAGATTTTGTTTGTACCACAAAATCTATCAGAGGGTCCTTTCCTTGGATGAATGCCTGCCCTTTTGTACACCATCCTGGGTGGCATATCAATGGCTTAATGGGACCACAAATTCGACACTTTTGGGACCAAAGTGCTTTTGAGCTCTGTATTTGGCTATTGGATTTTCTTTTTATATCAGAAAAAAAAAATCTATAT